GTTTAGGGTTTAGGGTTTTACGAGGTGCGCCAGTCTTTTGATTTGCTGCGCCTCTTTGTTGTTTTCTTTAAAAGCGTCGGAGACTTTTTTAAATTCATTTGTTGTTTTCTTCAACAGTTCTTGTTGCTGCTCAAACACAAACCCTAAACCCTAAACCCTAAACCCTAAACCCTAAACCCTTGCCCCAAACCCTAAACCCTAAACCCTCGTCACCCGATCGCGCCCAGCCCCAAACCCTAAACGCTAAACCCTAAACCCGTAAACTCTAATCGCCCTAAACCCCCAAGCCCAGCCACTAAACCCGAAACCCTAAACCCTAAACCCCAAATCCCAAACCCTAAACCCCAAACCCTAAATCCCAAATCCCAAACCCTAAACCCCAAACCCCAAACCCTAAATCCCAAACCCTAAACCCCAAACCCCAAACCCTAAACCCCAAACCCTGAACCCCAAATCCCAAACCCTAAACCCCCAACCCTAAACCCCAAACCCTAAACCCCAAACCCTAAACCCTACCTGTTGCAAGGCGCTGAGTTGGCGTTTGGCGGAGTTTTCTGCAGCTTTGAGTTTCTTTTGAAGTGCAATTTGTTTTTCATTTAAAACAAAGAAACTATTTTCTTTTTCTTTTAAAATTTCTTTAAATCTTTTTTCTTCTTTTTCCAACTTCGACAAATAAAAGGCCTCGCGCTCCAACGCCGCCTCTTTTGTTTTCTAATTTAAATAATAAATAAATAAATAAATAAATAAATAAATAAATAAATAAATTAGTTAATTAATTAATTAATTAAAGTAATTAATTTGTTATTTAAATTGCTGGTTTGTTCTTTAAGTTGCAGTTTGAAATTCATCATCGTTTTGCATTATTTACCCTAAACCCTAAACCCTAAACCCTAAACCCTCAAATTAAAATTAATTTTAAAATTTAATCTTCTTCTTTATTTCTATTTTTATGTAAAAAAAGACGCACAATTGCAACTTCGTAATAATGGTCTCTTTCTTCTGTCAGCTCTTCTAGATATTTCCTGCAGCACAAACCCTAAACCCTAAACCCTAAACCCTAAATCCTAAACCCTAAACCCTAAACCCCTGGCATGGAACCTGGCACAGAGGCCTGGGGAGGCGCTAGGGCTCCAGCTAGGGTTTAAGCGGGGTCTTAGGGTTTGCTGCTAGGGTTTAGGGTTTGCGCTGCGACGAGGGTTTAGGGTTTAGGGTTTGGGGTTTACTTGAAAATCTCCACCTCGCTGCGGGCAAGGACTTCTTTCGCCTTTGCTCTCTTGTAACTCTCAATTGCAACCAACTTCTCGTTCTGAAAACACAATTAGGGTTTAGGGTTTAGCTTTTAGGGTTTAGGGTTTAGGGTTTAGGGTTTAGGCAGAACCTCGTACATCGCAGCCGCCTGAACACCCCCAGAAGCCCCAAACCCTCCCAAACTCCAATCCCCAAACCCTAAACCCTAACCCCTGAACCCCAAACCCTAAACCCTAAACCCTAAACCCTCACGCCTAGGTATTCGCAAGTCCACGCCAGTTTCTCAAGACGAATAAGAGCTTCAGCAAGAGTTCCTTCATCTGTTTCCATTTCAAAGGATTTCTGCCTCCGAGTTCTGCACAAACCCTAAACCCTAAACCCTAAACCCTAAACGCCGAGGCGTCC